GCTTTGAGTTGCAAATGACTGACTGCACGTAACAACAACCAACATTAGTCATCAGAGAAGTACAAGTCAAAGCAATGAGACAGCACTCCACACCTGTTGAGAAAACTGTAATAAATAACCAGTTAATAACAAGTGTCAGCAGAGCTGAAGAAACTGAAACTGGCATGTATTGCTAATGGAAATGTAAAATGGCCCAGCCACTTCAGAAAATGGTCTGGCAATTTCTCAAAGCATGTGCATCAAATTACTACTAACTATACAGCCAAGGGAAATGAAAGCACATATCTGCAGAAAAATTTGTATGTGAATATTGTGAGTGTATTGTTCGTAGTACTGGCCTCAGTTCTAATGGTCTAGACAGTAGGGAGTTGTGTTGCGAGCCTAAAGGCTGGCAGTTCAAATCCACCAGCTGCTCCTTGGGAGAAGAATGGGCAATCTCTTTTCATGCAAATGACCACCTCTGAAAAAGCACCAGAGGGTTAACTATGAGTCAGTTCTGGCTTGACAGCAATGAGATATTTATTTTAGTATTATTCATAGTGCCCAAAAGGTAGTAAAGTGGGTTGAACCCCACCCAAATGTCTGTAATTGATGAATGGCTTAAGAAAATGTTGCAATATCCATACAGTAGAATATTACTAACAATAAAGGGTGGGGGAGGGGAAGAATGTACTTGTACCTGCTACAACAGGGATGAACCTAGTAAACATAATGCTAAGTGATCTAGGGTGAGGATTGTGCTGCCAACCCAAAGGCGTGCAGTTCGAATTCACCAGCTGCTCCTCAGGAGAAAGATGGGCTGTCTCCTCCCATGTGATTATGCTGCCTCTGAAAAACCACTGGAGGGTCAGCTGTGGGTCGTTTCTGATCAGCAGTACACAACAGCAATAACAAGTGAAAGAAACTAGTCATAAAAACCCATGTAAATGTGTGACTTATTTTGTATGAAATATCTAAAATAGGCAAATCCATGGTCATGGTCTTTGCAATTAGGTGCTATGCATCAGAGAGTTGGACAATGACTAGGAATGATAGAAGGAGAATTAATGCCTTTGAACTGTGGTGCTGGAGAAGAATATTGAATATACTATGGACTGCTAAGAGAACAAACAGGCATCAATTCTCTATCATCCCTAGTCATTGTCCAGCTTTCTGA